CAAATATCTCTTCCTCCTTCCTGGTAAATATCAAATCTAGCATGGAGGGAACGTCCCCTTCCCTCATCCTCGTAGCTTGTTTAACATGTTGATACAAGAATGTTTCCAGGATGAGGTCTACAAATTTACAGGTCCAAAAATCTTCTGTTTTAGCTTCATATGCTTCCCAGTCTATGGATTTCAAGTTGAAGTCACCGACTATCAACAGTCGTGATCTATCGTTATCCGCTCTCGCTATAATCTCTCTCATTATTGTTATAAGACCTTCACGTTTACTATCTAGCTCCTCCTTTGACCATGTGCTGCTTGGCGGTGGACTATATGCATTTATCATCATTAGTTTATCATCCTCATAGCAGATCTCTAGTGCTATTATGTCAACTTCTTGTGGATTGGCAGTCATTATTTCCTTCACCTTTAGGTGTTCTTTTACCAGCACAGCAACGCCACCGCCTTTCCTAATTTTTCTGTCCCGTCTCCAAATTGAGTAGCCCCTTGGGAATATGACCTCATTTAAAATTACATCTTCAAGTTTTGTCTCCGTGAGTGCAACAATGTCTGGTGTCTGCAGCTGTATTACATCACTTAACTCCAGTATCTTCGATCTCACTCCATCTATGTTGGTGTATGCAATCTTCAGGAACTTGTTCCCCCTCTCCTTATTCTTCACTCCCCCTCTCTCTATTGATTTTGTTGGTTTGTCTTTATGTACCACTTTACTGGTTTGCCTACCCCTATCACTTTGTAGAAAAAAGAATTTATTTCTTCTTCATTCCTGCTCTCATTTAAATGTTTTGCCTCGGCGAGGTTCAGTTTCAGCTTCTCTCTATCTTCTTTTGAAAGATCTCGTCTTAATGACCACCCTTTCCCATCCTCATCCCTTTGCAATTTTCTAGCATTCCTTAGTACTTCTTCCATCTGTTTGGCACCGTTTAGGGTGATCCTCAAGGGTCGATCTTTCCCTTTTACGTACCTGCCTATTCTCCTGTAGTCGCACACATTCTCTCTGTTTGTAAGACCTTCCACGAGGCCAACAATTTTATCTACTACTTTAGCTTCTTCTACAGCTCTTTCTGACCTAGATGTTATCGCCTTTTCTTTGCAGCCAAAAATGATCAGGGACTTACTCCGATCAACTGTGTTTTGCACCAACTTCGGGTTAGATGCCAATTCTTTCCTCACTTCTAGCCTAATGTTTGTTTTATCTTGGTTGCTGCAGTGTTTGACTTCCTTTACTGCTTCTTCTATTTTTTCCTTCTCCTTGGCCACTTGTGCATAAGTGAGTTGCATATCTTTCTTGCACTGTTCTATTCCCTGTGTAACTTCCTCCATCTGTGCTGACAAAAGCTGTTTCTCCTGTTGAATTTCCTTGCCTAACCTATTGTAGTCATTTATGTTTAAATTTACTTTAACTTCTTCCAAAGCTATTTTTAAGAGTTTATTTTCTTCTTCCATGGCTTTGCAATTTGTTTCCAATTGATTCTTATCCTTGCGCAAGTCTTTCACTAAACCCTCAAGACATAAAACTTTGCTATTCAAATGGTCATTACTTTCTTTCAATTTACTAATTATTTCTACATGAGAGTTCACTATAGTATCTAAATTTACCAACTTGTTATGTAGACTACTAATATCAATGCTTTCTTCATTGAATCCCTCAAAATCAAGCTCTGTTTTGTTTTTCCCCTTGCCAGTGGCCATCTTGAATGTTCTTCTCTGCACTGTAAACACTAGGGCAACTTTTTCTCATCCGATTTTTCACTTCCCTTAGCACTTTCCTGTTATCTCACCTATTTTTCAAGAGCACTATACCTTTATGTTCTCTGGGACACCACTCACTACCATCAACCTGTACTACAATACTTAGGATTGTTGAAATATGCTGGAGCTCCTCTGCTGCAAGTGTTGACCCTAGGGGTGTCACCTTTTTCATCAGTTTCATTTTTTTGTCAGGGGTGTGTGTGTGTGTGTGTGTGTGTGTGTGTGTGTGTGTGTGTGTGTGTGTGTGTGTGTGTGTGTGTGTGTGTGTGTGTGTGTGTGTGTGTGTGTAATTACCTAAGTTTAGTTACAGGATGAGAGCTATGCTCGTGGTGTCCCATCTTTCCAGCACTCTGTCATATAACGCTTTGAAATTACTGACGGTCTTGGCCTTCTCACCTAACTTCTTCCAACCGTCTACCACTCTGTTTGCGAAAGTGAATTTTCTTATATTTCTTCGACATCTGTGTTTAGCTAGTTTAAATCTTTGACCTCTTGTCCTTGAAGTTCCAGGTCTCAGGAAATCTTCCCTATTGATTTTATCAATTCCTGTTACTATTTTGTACGTAGTGATCATATCGCCTCTTTTTCTTGTCTTCTAGTTTTGTTATATTTAATGCCTCTAACCTCTCCTCGTTACTCTTGTCCTTCAGTTCTGGGAGCCACTTAGTAGTATGTCTTTGCACCTTTTCCAGTTTGTTGATGTGCTTCTTAAGATATGGGCACCACACAACTGCTGCATATTCTAGCTTTGGCCTAACAACAGTCGTGAACAATTTCTTTAGTATTCTGCCATCCATGTATTTAAAAGTAATTCTGAAGTTAGAAAGCATCGCATAGGCTCCTCGCACAACGTTCTTTATGTGGTCCTCAGGTGACAGTTTTCTATCTAGAACCACTCCTAGATCCCTTTCTTTATCAGAATTCTTTAAAGATTTCTCACATAATTTATAGGTTGTGTGGGGTCTATGTTCTCCTGTTCCACATTACATAACATGGCATTTATTCACATTAAATTCCATTTGCCAAGTGGCGCTCCATGTACTTATTTTGTCCAGGTCTTCTTGAAGGGCATGACAATCATCTAAGTTTCTTATCCTTCCTATTATCTTTGCATCATCAGCAAACATGTTCATATAATTCTATATACCAACTGGTAGATCATTTATGTAGACAATAAACATCATTGGTGAAGAACTGAACCCTGTGATACTCCACTTGTGACATTTCTCCAGTCCGTTACATTGCCTCTGATTACTGCCCTCATTTTACTATCAGTCAGAAAATTTTCATCCATGATAGAAGCTTACCTGTCACCCCTCCAATATTTTCCAGTTTCCAGAACAACCTCGTATGTGGAACTCTGTCCAAAGCCTTTTTTAGGTCCAGATAGATGCAGTCAACCCAACCATCTCTTTCCTGTAAAATCTCTGTGGCTCGATCATAGAAACTGAGTAAATTCAATACACAGGATCTTCCAGATCGAAAACCATACTGTCTGATATTATATAATTTCTCTCCAGGTGTTCTACCCATTTAGTTTTTATTATTTTTTCTAATACTTTCACTATTACACTTGTCAATGATACAGGTCTATAATTGAGGGGGTCTTCCCTGCTGCCACTTCTGTAGATTGGAACTATGTTAACCTTTTTTCACATGTCTGCTACGACTCCTGTACACAGGGATGCCTGAAAGATTAGGTGAAGTGGAATGCTGTGTGTGTGTGTGTGCGTCCACTTACCTGTGAGGAAGCTAATTAGGTCTAGCTAATTATGCCCTGCCTACTGGTCTTGTTGTGCCTGCTTCTGCTTGTGTTTTGTCATCTCTCTCTTTCTCTCTCAGAGGCTGTCCTTGTCAATTCCCCTCAGTATCTTGAATACATGTTTCGATTTTTTTTCCTTTCATTCTTCCTCTCCTCCATGATTGTGAAGTCTACTTCCCTTAATTTATCCTCATAGTTCTGCCCTTTTAGCTCTGGCACTAAACTTGTTGCACACCTTTGTACTTTTTCAATTTTGGTTAGGCTTCACAATATGGAGATTCCAGGCCAGTGCTGCATAGTTCAGTAATGGTCTAACAAAGGCTGTGTAAATTGTTTGCAAAGAGGATTGTCTTGAAAGAGCCTTGATTTAGGTTTCTAAGCAATGTTATAATGTTTGCCAACATCTCATATGCAGCCAATGTAGCCCTGTTTTGTGTGCCTTTGGTGTTAGTGTTGGAATAACATCCACTCCCAAATACTTTCTCTGACTCCTGTACTTGCCTTCCCTTTATGAAGTAGATGCCTTTTGGTCTCCTTTCTCCCTTTCCTGTCTTCATTACCTTACACTTGTTGGAACTAAATTCTAGCAATCATTTGTTTGCCCACTCCTGAAGTAAATTAGAAAGAGTAGGGATCCCAGGACAGACCCTTGGGAAACTCCATTTGTTACCTGCCTCTAAAAAAAACTTGGGAAAATAGTTTCACTATTTCAAGTTTGCACTCTGTGCATCCACTAGGGTGTTGATATAACGTAGTTGCTACTTATTATCTCCATACCATAACAAAATAAATAGGTGAACCCGTATGAATCCGAATTCAAGATATATGCATCTTCTATTAAATTGAGTTTGAGGTCCAGCAATCAGTTAAATTATGCTACAGTAGCAGTATCAAGAGATACCATATCAATACCATGATAGTTCCATATCAATAGTCTTTGAACAGAGCATGAATGCTGTTCCACCAACTGTGAGATAATGGCTCACAGTCATACACAGCACCTAGTTGCCTGTCCCCAGGTAGTTGTCCTTCAACACAACAATGCTGAGTCCCGGCACTGATTGTACGGCAGGAGATGCCACGCTAGTCCCAACTGAAAGGTTATACAACACCTTATTCCATCACTACCACCAGTTTGAGCTCCTGAGGACTTAATGGGACAAAGCACATCACCAGAACATCCTGAAGGCTGCCTTGGAGTGGCTACATACTAACCTTAAATGATTCCATGATGCATCAACTCAAGAGTGAGTGAATGAATGTACCATAGTCTTATACAATGTGTTGAAAATATAAAGTAATATGCAATGCTTGTAAACTCATCAAAGATAAATGCCACAACTGAATGAATCTCCCCATTAATATTTTTTTTTATCTAAATCAATATACAGTACTACACAGAACTTTGTGTAAGAAATCATGTGAGTTAAAGAAAGCGATTGTAAGGATAAAATACAGTAATAACAAATTTAATTGTTTTTGTTTTGTTTAATCTTCCTTCACAACAAATTATTAACAAAACAGCATTGAATGTAATGAAATGCCATTTTCTGGGTAAGACCTGGAGGTTCCCCGTAGCTATCCGGGCTGATATGAATGCATTAGACTGTGGCATCAGTCAAAGCAAATGGATTTCTGCCTACTGGGGACCATGAGCCAGAAGATGGCCCCCCCAGATGAGGCACGAGGACCAATGGCCTATAGAAACCCCCGTGTGGCTGGAAGCATTCTATGTCTGCCATCAACCAAGTCAGGCACCTCAAAACAAACTATCTGGTTAAAAAAATTGCTACTGAAAGCTGAACTGTTGAACAGAACTCCCCTTCCCTGGGAGAGTGAGCTCCAGATTCCCCGTGCCGGCTATGCAGCTCCAGTTCAGAGGCTGGATGTCAAAACCGCCAACCGGGAGGGAGGGAGGGTTGCCGGGGAGCCTCTGAGTCTCGCCCAGAAAATGATGTTTCATTACATCTAATGCTGGTTTTCTGCAGGGAGTCCCATCAGCTCCTTGGAGCTACTTAACAAAGATAAAACAAGAAGGACTTACCCGGGAAGTGGTCACCACTCGCTCCTCAACTCTAAGTCGAGACAACTGGCTGCAACCAATGACTTAATGCAACACATGTCCGACTAGGGCTAGGAACATTGACTGGGTAGCGAGCAGCCAGAACCCTGTTCGACCCCCAAAAAACGTCGTGCTCGAATGTCAGTTAAGACATGTTACTGAAGGATGTGCCAGATTCAAGCCGAATGGAAGGCAACGAAAGCGATAACCCTGACGCACCACACAAACAAAACCGAGCCAGTTCCTGAAACAAGGATGAATCAGGACGTGCCAATATGCATCCCGGAGGTCCAAGGACACCATCCAAGTGCAAAAGGGATGACGCCCCTTACGAGAAGCAGACCGGCAAGCAGAGCAATCACCGTGCCGACCAGACGTAGTCGGCTCTGAAGGCTGTGCCGGCTCCGAAACTGGCACCACTGGCCTGCCACGACAGGAGGAATCCCGAGCCCTGGCACGACCCTTCTGGGAAGAGCCCCCACGCCCACCCCAAAAAACCAACAAGTCCAACATGGGATGACAACTAGAAGAAGCTGCCTGCAGATACTGCACCACCGCAGACTCCGTATACAGTGAAGGACAAAAGGGCATAGAAAACCTAAGAGCCAGGACCCAAGCAGATTCCAAGAACTAAGCGATCACTGCCTGATGCCACGAGAGATGAGAAGCAAAGAACAGAGAAACCGACTCCTGCAGGATCACCGCAAACAGCTTCACAGGGAAGCAGGATCAGACGAGACCAGACTTAGGATCGGCACAGAGTGCCGCCACATCCTCCTGAATCCAGTCCGAAGACAGCTCGAGAAGGGGAGAAGAAATGCAGGACCGAAACCAAATGGCAACGGGTATGTAAGTCCTCAGCTACCAGGGTCGCCGAAAGGGAGGGAACCTGCACATGAAGCTGTACCAGGCTGACGTCCTGAGGAGGGCAGGGGCAAACACACATGCACTGAGGCGTTAAAATTCGTTCAAAGTAGCAATTTTTTAACTAGGCAGGGTTTGTTTTGGGGTGCCTACCTCTTTGTGTGCCTGACCTGGTCAATGGCAGAGATAGAATGCTTCCAACCACATGGGGGGTTTCTATAGGCCATTGCTCCTTGCAATGAGCAATGGCCCATCTGAGGGGGACCCGGTTCTGGCTCGTGGTCCCCGGTAGGCAGAACTTCATTCGCTTTGACTGATGCCTTGGTCTAATACACTCATATCAGCTCGGATAGCTTCGGGAAGTCGACAGGGCTCCCCCCAGAAAATAATGCTATACACAATACAATATTTTGTTTACAGTTTATATACAAGTGTGCATAAGCCTGATAACAGCACTTGTGTGTTCAACATCACTAAGTATTTATCACAAATTCTAATGTTCTTGCTCTCTTCATATCAGAATTAACTGTACATTATATTAATTCTTTAAACAAGGGTGAAATTATTAAGTTTCAAAGTTAAGGCAGTTGGCAAAGGATTCATTTATAAATATTCTCAGCAGAATTCCATAAGAAATTGCTTGTACAACGGTGATCCTACCTTAAATGTGTACAGTACGCTATCTGTGACCATGGACTGGCAGGGCACATACCGCTTAAGTCCCGTCGCTGCCCTTCATACCAGCATCATGATCGTTACCTCTGACCACACAACTGGTTAACCCACCGCACATTACAGCATTTTAATCATACAAGATCCACTATGGATTCTGCGCTTCAGTCCTGCCATCCTGTGCTTCTTAGGTGAACCTAATACATCTTGTATTTCCTGTGGAGAAAGAAGCATACAAATAAAATATTGTATGTTCTATGAAATAAAATAAGTATAAAATTTTTATGACATCTCTCATGTAATATTGGTACTATATAGTATATACTGTATAATAGTTTAACCCTTAAACTACACATGTTGGGGGCTCGGAAGCAAAAAATATTAAAAATATGTATAAATAACTTAAAAATGTTGAGCAAATCTCCAACTTATTAGCTTCAGCGTTATGAAACTTTCATAAAAATATTTTCAGAAATATATTTTAGACGAATTATTTTAAAATAAAAAATGTTATGTTGATAAGGAGAACAGCTCCTATTAATTGGAACTGAGGGATAAATCAGTAATAAAGAGATGCAAGCACCTGTCCGACGCTCAAAAGAAGAAGAATAGTAGTAAGAAGTGTCCACAAAGTGGTTATGTAGCTGGAGTCTTTATAGCATTGCTGAGTAATACTTAGTTACTCATTATTATTTGTGTTATTATGTTATTATGCTCTATTTTGTACTTAGTTACTCATTACTATTTATGTTATTATGCTCTATTTTGTACTTAGTTACTCATTACTATTTATGTTATTATGCTCTATTTTGTCATATATCATATAAAATACATTGTCCAATGTTAATATATGTTACTTTCATCAATGTCCCAAAAATATTATTTTAGGGGATTTTTTTTTGGTAAGATTTGTTTTGTTCTCCTTTGTTTATTATTTGATTTTGTTGTAACCTTCACATCCTGAAGAGTGCACACCCTTTCCTAATTATGTGAAGACAGAATTAAATTGGTCAACAAATAAATCAGTCAACTTCCAGAACTTGGGACTTTGAATTTTTTTGCCTGATTTTTTTTCTCAGATTTCAAACTCTATTTTTTTTCTCTTTAGGTTGTTTTGATGATTAGGGACCAGATTAGAGCTTTTTCACTTATTTAAAGTATACCCTAAATATATCTCCTAAGTTATTGTAATTATTATAATAATCCCTATATTTTGTTTTTTGAGGGTTATTTTTTCTTAACTTCATTTCAACACATATTGACCTACAACTTTCACATATTCGAGTACGAATGCCAAACAGTGTTTATTAAAACATACAATTAAATTAACTAATTAGAACTAACTTTATTCTTTGTTGATAACTTCAACTTCAATTATCTCTGAAACTAGAGTTTCAACTTTGAGTCGCTTCTAAAATTCCAGTTTTTGACCGATTCTCACCATTTTGACACATTGTGTGCTCAGCTGTCGGTTCTACAATCCCTTCAGAATGGATTTTTCATAAACCCTATACATTTGCAGTTATAGTTGGTTTTGGTTTAAATTTGCCGCATATTTCAAATGCCATAATGATGATTTTTTTTACAGTAAACTATACTGAAAATCTGTACTTTAATTTGATGAAAATGAAGATCATATGCTATTCTGAGAGAATAATAAAACCAAATGAACAATTGGTGATAGTTTATACTTTTTATTCCAATTTGAAAATCTGAAGTTTCCAATATTCAATTTTAAAATTATTTTTGATTCTCTTGTTGTTCAAGTTATGTTGTGATCATTTAAACTAAGTTTGAACATTTGCCTAGTTGATTATGCACAAAAAATTAAAGTGTTTGTGCAAGTTTTAAAAACTTGAGTTATCTCAAATCATATATGTATGTTTTGCATGATTTAATGGTTAAAAGAGACTACAGTATTCATTAAAATTCTGAAAACATGTGATTAACACACATGATTATATATTCTCTCTCTCTGGCTGTATCCGTAATTCCTGGATGCAGTAAACTACGAAATTTTGCAAAATGTTGCATTTATCAAGAGTAATGGAAATATTTAGAGAACAAACATGGAAGATTCTGTCAAAAATAATGGAATACACATACATGATTTACAAACTAATATATTCCAAACCAGATTTGGCTTGTATTTTGCAACAAGATATATTGACCCAAAATTTGAGTACAATAAATGTACACGTATGGTGGAAACAAAATAAAGTATATTGTGTTGCATTTGAACCCCTTTTAATCAACAGTTTGTGGGGGATCACGGATCTAAAAAATAACCACTCCTTATATACCCACAACCTGGATAAGATCAAATGCTACTTTCTACTTCTGTGGTTACTTAAATCTTGTAAAAATAATTTTAAGCCTTCATACAACAATATTCTTAATTTAAGAGTTTTAAAATACAAATTGTAAAAATATAGCACTGAGTGCAAGGAAAAACCTGTGTGGGTGGATATACAGTACCAGGCTTCTGTGACAATATTGGCTTTACTGGAACCAAGTACAGTACTATTTCCCATTGACTTGCAATGAGGCAGGAAGAAAGTGAGAATTAGGGATCAACTCACCACTGAAGTGAACCACTCTTAAAAAATGAGTGTCATAAAACTCCAAACTACCTCCAAGAATGTCGGATAATTTGAAAATTACCAAACAAAATTCTGCAAACAAGCGAGGGTTAACTTTTATCAACGTTATCACTTGTCACCTGCGAACTCACTGCCTCACTCGAGCCCTGTGAGGCAGTGGATCTACACTCGAGCCCTGCGAGACAGAGGGTCTACACTTGAGCCCTGTGAGGGTCGAGTGTAGCCTCACAGGTCTATACTCGAGCCCTGCGCTACTTAACAAAACCCACGGGATGAATGGCGGAGGGCTGAAGGTATGCTCATAAGCCATCAAAACTGCTGAATTGCATCCTGATAAACTGCAAACTCCTATGTCAGGCCTTGAGTTGGATGGGGAAGCCATAAGTACCCACCCGAGGATATTAGGTGGATAAATTTGCCATGTTGTGAAGGATATTAGCCCCCTGGACTGTCACACAGACATGGTGTGAAGGATACTAGCTCCCTGGACTGTCACACAGACATGGTGTGAAGGATACTAGCTCCCTGGACTGTCACACAGACATGGTGTGAAGGATACTAGCTCCTGGGACTGTCACACAGACATGGTGTGAAGGATACTAGCTCCTGGGACTGTCACACAGACATGGTGTGAAGGATATTAGCCCCCTGGACTGTCACACAGACATGTTGTGAAGGATACTAGCCCCCTGGGACTGTCACACAGACATGGTGTGAAGGATATTAGCCCCCTGGACTGTCACACAGACATGGTGTGAAGGATACTAGCTCCTGGGACTGTCACACAGACATGGTGTGAAGGATATTAGCCCCCTGGACTGTCACACAGACATGGTGTGAAGGATACTAGCTCCTGGGACTGTCACACAGACATGGTGTGAAAGTATTAGCCCCCTGGACTGTCACACAGACATGGTGTGAAGGATACTAGCTCCTGGGACTGTCACACAGACATGGTGTGAAGGATACTAGCTCCTGGGACTGTCACACAGACATGTTGTGAAGGATATTAGCCCCCTGGACTGTCACACAGACATGGTGTGAAGGATACTAGCTCCTGGGACTGTCACACAGACATGTTGTGAAGGATATTAGCCCCCTGGACTGTCACACAGACATGGTGTGAAGGATACTAGCTCCTGGGACTGTCACACAGACATGGTGTGAAGGATACTAGCTCCTGGGACTGTCACACAGACATGGTGTGAAGGATACTAGCTCCTGGGACTGTCACACAGACATGGTGTGAAGGATACTAGCTCCTGGGACTGTCACACAGACATGGTGTGAAGGATACTAGCTCCTGGGACTGTCACACAGACATGGTGTGAAGGATACTAGCTCCTGGGACTGTCACACAGACATGGTGTGAAGGATACTAGCTCCTGGGACTGTCACACAGACATGGTGTGAAGGATACTAGCTCCTAGGACTGTCACACAGACATGGTGTGAAGGATACTAGCTCCTGGGACTGTCACACACACATGGTGTGAAGGATACTAGCTCCTGGGACTGTCACACAGACATGGTGTGAAGGATACTAGCCCCCTGGACTGTGACACAGACATGTTGTGAAGGATACTAGCTCCTGGGACTGTCACACAGACATGTCATAACTAGCTCCCTGGACTGTCACACAGACATGCAGGCATGACAGATCTTCTCACAGAAAGGAGCAGCCAAGTCAAACACCTTGCAATAATAATCTCAGAAGACCAAGTATTTAGAGAGCACAATAAAGCAAACACAGCAACAGTCAGAAAAATAATAAGTAGATGCAGCGAACGTTCAGAACAAAGAATGCCACACCAATGATGGTACTGTACTCTCCAAAGCACTGGAGCGACCTTGTATGGAATATTATTAATCAGTTCTCACTTGCCCTTTCAAGGCAGGTGAGAGTGTAGAGCTGGAAAATGTAGAGAGATCCTTTTCTGCATGCATAGAATAAGTGACAAACTTAATGACTGACTCAAAGCAGAAATTGGAACAGTTTCTGCTGGAGTTACCAGATCAGTCTGGCTATGATGGTTATCTGGGCCAGGTAACCAGGATAAGCTGGCTACAGGCTAGGATGTGGAAGTAGAACTCTCAAAATCATCAACAGGTAACAGGTAAAAAATATGTGATCAAATGAAAGTATATTTCACATTGTTGTATTCCCCAGAGTTTGTGTGTATGTCTCAGTGCTTCCTAAAATTATGGTTGTTACACTACAAAACCGTTTTGAGAATATGTAGCTTAAAATAATAAAAGAACAGTAAATTGGGGGTATATATATTTTAGTTATAAGTAAATTGGGGGTATATATATATTTTAGTTATAAGTAAATTGGGGGTATATATATATTTTAGTTATAAGTAAATTGGGGGTATATATATATTTTAATTATAAGTAAATTGGGGGTATATATATTTTAGTTATAAGTAAATTGGGGGTATATATATATTTTAATTATAAGTAAATTGGGGGTATATATATATTTTAATTATAAGTAAATTGGGGGTATATATATATTTTAATTATAAGTAAATTGGGGGTATATATATATTTTAGTTATAAGTAAATTGGGGGTATATATATATTTTAATTATAAGTAAATTGGGGGTATATATATATTTTAGTTATAAGTAAATTGGGGGTATATATATATTTTAATTATAAGTAAATTGGGGGTATATATATATTTTAATTATAAGTGAATTAAGCCTTCAAATCAGCCAGTTCTGAGAGCTAACTGATAAAACCCAAATTCTTGTACTGTACCTGTGTGGCAGTTCACGGCCCAAGGAGTTAAACTTGCCTCTTCTTTGTTTATCAACTCTCTTCCGGATCATGGCTTCTAGCTCTTCGTCAGTGGGCTCGGGTTTAATTTTCCTTCTTGGTACGTGTCTGAGCGAATATTGCCAGTTGCCTGCAAATGTTGTGTGGGACAATGATTATGTGAATAAATAGCTATTTGCCTTCAAATCATAATAAAACAGAAACAAGTGTAGTATACTAGTATTAAAAACTATGCTAGGGACAAGCTTATATGACAGTCAAGCATTTGATGTCTGTTCAATGTGAAATATTGAAATTAATGAAAAACTTGTAAAGAGGGGCAGCAGTGAATCTGTCCATCCAAACATACCAAAATAATTATGTGTAGTTAACTAGAAACCTCATTTGAAGGTCCTTTGTGAGGCCAAGAGAGGTTTTGGAAGGGTTACGAGTTTTCAGTATTGTGAATGTACCCAGTACCTTCCATCAGTAATTCAAACCAGACTAAGTTTATCTTCAGTGATTCCCTAGCATCTTTAATGACTCTGCAGGGATGTTTGTTAAGTTTCCTGTGATGTTGGTGGCAGAATGTCATACTGCCTCAATGTACATGAACTTGGTCATATAACACACCAGACACTACATGGTTCAATAAGGCAAGAAAATTATACACTATTGATGATATAAAGCTGAAGGCTTACTTATAGGACCGCTATTGAGGCTTGAGAGTCACAAAAGAATAGATCACTGTAGGCAAGAGAACAGACATTCTGGAGGGGTTTATTCATAAACCCAGATAATTTAAGCACCTCAAAGAAGTTACAAATGTTTGCCAACAGAAAGCTCAAAATTACATTCCATATTTTACAGGGGCCCCTCAGGAATTTAGACACTTTTCTGTAATATTTGGACTTTGGAGAAGAGATCCGGTGGCCTAATTTGGTTTGTTGTTTAGAAGAATGCATAACAGGGAGTTACCACTGCATTTACAAGTAAACAGAGCAGCAACTGTTGGTAGAAACTGTGCCTGACACATGACCCATTGGATAACTATTAACAAATGTTGACCATGTAAACCATGAGAGTATATAACATACTGTCACATAATTCCCCAGCATAGCAGCAGAAACTGCCTCTTCCTGCTCACCTTCGTTGACCATCACTCTGCATATCGCCTGTATACGACCAGTATGAAGTTCAATCCAGACGTATGTCTGGAAAGCACCCTAATCACCCTCCACCCAGACCCCAGAGCCCCAGGCAGGTGCAAGCTAGACCTGCTGACTCATGGATACCAGTGAGTAACAAGCAGTCTCGCTGCTGGTTTGTAGTTCCAAGCCTCAGTGACAAAGGATGTGACGTCACCAGCAGGGCTATAAGCGCCCAGACCTCGCTCACCACGATAGTCTCTCCTCAGGTGTTCGGAGTATAACATTATGACCTACACTTGACGCTTGTCTCCAGCTGCTTCACGTGCAGGGTTCTATTTTTTATTTATGTAAATATTCCTTCAGTCTCACCTACACTGTTGTATCAACATAAGTTTATTCATGTGTATTTGTTATCATTTTTCTTGTGTGCTAGCCAAGTGTATTCTATCAGGGGGGTTTCAGATATTTTTCATGTGTTTGTTCATTATTAATAGCAGAGTAAATTGAGTTAATTTTTCGTCTGATTATTTTTTCAATCCTGTGCAATTTTCACACTAACAAGGGCCAAAGCGTCACTTTTTTTGGTGGGATTAATACGAGGTGCGAGCCACATTACATCTGCCGAGTATAGCCGTAATACTGCGTCACGTCACAATACCTATATGAAAACATCAGTAGGAGCCATGAGGAGGATTTGAACCTACACACTGGGTACATACCTGTATGCTTTATGTCCAACATAATTCTGAGAACTTGGTTTAGGGTCAGTGACTTTGAAGAACCAGAGCCCCAGGACAAATATCTGAAAGGTGTATTATTGTTTTATAGAACAATTCTGTATACAATACTGGTAACATTACATTTAAGCCTTCATGATTATTTTTCAGAAACTCTTTAGAAATCATGTTTGTTAGTTTCATCAACATCTGCAACAAATGTGATAGGTTTAGTTTTTATTTTCATCACAATAGTAGACAAAGCAATATAGTAAAGGAAAAATGTGGGCATTACTGTATTATGTTCTCCCATGTAACATGTAACACCATGTTACTCTCCCTCATGAACCCATCCTACACTGTCACCATGTTACTCTCCCTGATGAACCCATCCTTCACTATCACCATGTTACTCTCCCTGATGAACCCATCCTTCACTGTCACCATGTTACTCTCCCTGATGAACCCATCCTACACTATCACCATGTTACTCTCCCTGATGAACCCATCCTACACTATCACCATGTTACTCTCCCTGATGAACCCATCCTTCACTATCACCATGTTACTCTCCCTGATGAACCCATCCTTCACTATCACCATGTTACTCTCCCTGATGAACCCATCCTTCACTATCACCATGTTACTCTCCCTGATGAACCCATCCTTCACTATCACCATGTTACTCTCCCTCATGAACCCATCCTTCACTATCACCATGTTACTCTCCCTGATGAACCCATCCTTCACTATCACCATGTTACTCTCCCTGATGAACCCATCCTACACTGTCACCATGTTACTCTCCCTGATGATGTTACTCTCCCCATCCTTCACTATCACCATGTTACTCTCCCTGATGAACCCATCCTTCACTATCATCATGTTACTCTCCCTGATGAACCATCCTACACTATCATCATGTTACTCTCCCTGATGAACCCATCCTTCACTATCACCATGTTACTCTCCCTGATGAACCCATCCTTCACTTTCACCATGTTACTCTCCCTGATGAACCCATCCTTCACTATCACCATGTTACTCTCCCTGATGAACCCATCCTTCACTATCATCATGTTACTCTCCCTGATGAACCCATCCTTCACTATCACCATGTTACTCTCCCTCATGAACCCATCCTTCACTATCACCATGTTACTCTCCCTCATGAACCCATCCTTCACTATCACCATGTTACTCTCCCTGATGAACCCATCCTTCACTATCATCATGTTACTCTCCCTGATGAACCCATCCTACACTGTCACCATGTTACTCTCCCTCATGAACCCATCCTTCACTATCACCATGTTACTCTCCCTGATGAACCCATCCTTCACTATCATCATGTTACTCTCCCTGATGAACCCATCCTTCACTATCACCATGTTACTCTCCCTGATGAACCCATCCTTCACTATCACCATGTTACTCTCCCTCATGAACCCATCCTTCACTATCTCCATGTTACTCTCCCTCATGAACCCATCCTTCACTATCACCATGTTACTCTCCCTCATGAACCCATCCTTCACTATCATCATGTTACTCTCCCTGATGAACCATCTTACACTATCATCATGTTACTCTCCCTGATGAACCCATCCTTCACTATCACCATGTTACTCTCCCTGATGAACCCATCCTTCACTATCACCATGTTACTCTCCCTGATGAACCCATCCTTCACTATCACAATGTTACTCTCCCTGATGAACCCATCCTTCACTATCACCATGTTACTCTCCCTGATGAACCATCCTACACTATCATCATGTTACTCTCCCTGATGAACCCATCCTTCACTATCACCATGTTACTCTCCCTGATGAACCCATCCTTCACTATCACCATGTTACTCTCCCTGATGAACCATCCTACACTATCATCATGTTACTCTCCCTGATGAACCCATCCTTCACTATCACCATGTTACTCTCCCTGATGAACCCATCCTACACTATCAACAAGTTACACAGGAAACTGTCACATTGAACTTTTCACTAAAGAAAAAAAGAAAAGCCAGAGCTGAAAAGAAAGTTTTCTACTGCAGAATTTCCTAATCTGCCCTTTGTAAAGTAAGGAACTGGCTAACACTAGAGAAAGTACGCGTACAATATTATTCTCAGCCACATGTTGGTATAAAAAATTAGTTTAAGATAATTTCTTTATCTTGGGTTTAATAAAGTCACACTAGTTTTTCATCTCACCTGTCTAGTGGCAACTTCTTCATGCTAATTCCTTGCCTTTTAGCTTTAGCAAGGGTCAGGGGCTCACTCTTAGTTTTATCAACTATTCCCCCAATGATGTAAACAGCATCGTGGTCATAGTGTACCAATTCTTCGTGGCAGTGTGGAGTGAGATACACTAACTTATCTCGGGGAAACTTGTCCACATAACTCTCCGGTGTCACTATCAATGGGAACTCTGGCTGGAAATTAAAGTATCACATTAGAAAATACTGTAAAACAATTTCCCTGAACAACCCAATTAATTAATTAAAACCAATAGCTTACTGAATTATAACTACTGGGAAATGTTAATTCATCCTATTTCAACACATTATGGTAGCTTTCTTTTACAGAATATTTAAATGTCAATAAAATACTGAATACTGTAAGTGAATACCATAAGGCATAAGGTATTCAGTTACAATCTGGTTCCCCTATGCATGAGTTTGATATAAATGAAGAGCTTGACTAACCTGTACATAATACATGTAATATTCAGGATGAGGGTTAACAGTTACTGATACCATTCCCATCTACTACATATTTCCTGACATCTACACTTAGGCTCCAGAACCATCAGCTGCAACAGTCTTCTAAAAGTTTATTTACTATATCTCCCACCATCTTTGTGGTCCTTCCATCATGTTACATACCACTTTATTGTCAAGCCTATTTCCTTGCATGGAATACAAAACAATTTGTTATTAGTGGTGTAAAAACCCAGTGTTGAATGTAATGAAATGTCATTTTCTGGATAAAGCCCCGGAGGCTTCCTGAAGCTATCCAAACTGATATGTGCTATATTAGTTTGGGGTTATCAGTTACGGGAGTTCCTATTCCTACTGGGAACCATGAGCCAGAAACTGGTCCCCTCAGAGAGGTGCAGGGAACAATGGCATATGAGCACTTTACATTTAAAGTACAGTATGTCATATTCCCTCATCAATCGGCGTGGGCACCCAGATAGATAGGCGAAACAAAACAAACGGCTAGTCGGTAAAATTGCGATCTACAGCCAGAAAGAGCAAAGAAACTCCAGTTAAAAGAAAAGAAAAGAAGAAGAAAAGATCAGAAACTAGCAACTCTGTCCCCAACTAGTACTCCCACTTGTTAGCATTTCCCCCCCTTCCCCAGCACCAGTGTAGGGGGTTCCGGCTCAGCCAAGCCAGCCCTCACCACCACAGTTCTAGGACTGATGTAAAACCCAAAAACTGCCGACTGGAAGGAGGGAGGGTGTCAAGGAGGCTCAGGGGCTTCGCCCAGAAAATGGCATTTCATCACATTCAGCGCCAATTTTCTCGGGGAGCCCTGTTGGCTCCCTGAAGCTAACTACCCACAGAGAAGAAAAACGGGAACTTACCCGGGAGGCAGCAGCACTACAAGTCTCAAGTCGAAGAAGAGACCGATGGCTACAACAGACGCCGCAATGCAACACAAAGCCGCAGAGGGGCCCAGAACGTTCACGAGATATTCAGCAGCCAGGATCCTGTTCGACCTCCTAAACCCCCGTGCCCGAATGTCAACCCAGGATATGTTTCCAAAAACCACAGCGAACGCCGCATACTTCCGTACATCATGGGCACGAAGGTAGACTGCAAGCTGGCTGGACTTGATAACAGTGCAGACATCCTGAGACATATGAGCCATGGAACAGGTAACCAAGGAAACCAGATCCATCCAAAGAGCATCCTCCGTGACAGAACCAGTGGCTCTCAGGTAGCAGCGTAAAACTGCTTCTATTTTAAACTAAAAAACTAAACTAAAAAAAGGTGTACATACACCTCCTACCCAACCTAGCATCCACCATCAATGGACCTCTTCAGAAGCCTGCCATCTCATTCTTCGTGAGAAAAGAAGAAGACTGCAAGCCTAACAAAACGATCACTTGGACCAAAGGAAAAAAAAACCAGCGTTGAATGTAATGAAACGCCATTTTCTGGGTGAGTCCCGGAGGCTCCCCGGAGCTATCCCAGGCTGATATGCTAATGTCAGACTTTGGCATCAGTCATGTGTATGGAGTTCTTAGGCCTACCGGGGACCACGGCCAGAACCGGGCCCCCTCAGAGAGGCAAGGGGAGCAATGGCCTATAGAAGCCCCCGTGTAGTTGGAAGCATTCTATGTCTGCCATCGACCGGAACAGGCACCCAGAAAGGTAAGCGCCCCAAAACAAACCCCTATTCTGGTTAAAATTGCTACCTAATACCGAACTAGTGGATAGAACTCCCCAACCGAAAACAAGCAAATTAGTGTGACGTCACACACTGCCGCGCCGCTGTCTGCGCAGCTCCCCCCTCCCCGGGAGGGGGAAGGGGGAGCCCCAGACCCCCCGCGCCGGCTACCCACACCTCAGTTCTTGAGGCTGGATGTCAAAAACGCGAAAAACCGCCGACCGGAGGGAGGGAGGGATGCCGGGGAGCCTCCGGGACTCACCCAGAAAATGGCGTTTCATTACATTCAACGCTGGTTTTCTGGGGGGAGCCCCGTCGGCTCCCCGGAGCTAACTACCCACAGACAGAAAAAGAGGGACTTACCCGGGAGGCGGTCGTCGCTCACCCCTCAACTCGAAGCCGAGACAACTGGCTGCAACCGCCGACCCAAAGCAACACAGGCCCGACGAGGGCCAGGGACATTCACAAGGTAGCGAGCAGCCAGGACCCTGTTCGACCGCCAAAATCCCCGCGCCCGAATATCAGACCAAGACATATTCCCAAAGACGGCAGCAAGAGCCGCGAACTTACGAACGTCATGGGCACGGGGATAGACCGCAGGCTGGCTAGACCTAATAACCCTGCGGACGACCTGAGAGACCCGAACCCGCGAACAGGGAAGAAGGGAAACCGGATCAACCCACAGCGCGTCCCCGGACACAGAAGCTGTGGCGCGCAAATAACGGCGAAGCGCCGCAACCGGACACAAAACATGATGCACCCCCGGCCTGACCAACCAAGCATCAACCACCCATGGACCCCTCCGGAACGCAGCAGTCTCATTCTTCGCCAGAAAAGAAGGAGACGGCTGCAAACGAACAAAACTATCACCACGACCAAAAGAGCAGAAACCCCTGCGCCGGAGGAGAGCATGAAGCTCCCCTACCCGACCCCCAGAGGCCAAAGCCAACAAGAAAAGTGCCTTGGAAAAACAATCCTGGACCGAAGGGGCCACAACGAAACGAGGAGATGAAAGGAAAGCGAGCACTCTGTCCAAAGACCAGGACGGCTCAGGCGACGCATGAGCAGGCCGGAGGTGAAACAATGCACGAGACAGCTTGCGAAACGGCGCAGACGTAACATCGATACCGAAAGCAAGCTGAAGCGGCTCCGCCAGCGCCGCACGATACGAAGCGACAGTGTTAGGCATAAGATGACGGTCCTGAAACAACCACGAGAGGAAGGACAAGACCACCCGAACAGACAAGGAGCTAACACGACGAAGACGCAAAAAGAAACGGAAGGACCGCCAGGAAACTTCATACTGCCGCCGAGAAGAAGCCCTCAGGTGGGACACCAACAAGGAGGCCACCTGATCACCATAGAGATGATGATAGACTCGAGTCAAAAAAACCATACGCGAAGACTCGAGGAGAAGATCGAACCAGCTACGTGACGTACCGGCCCGATCTGCTGAAAGAGGCGGAGCCGCGGGAAAACCCTCGGGTTCGGACACCGAGCAACCAGCGCCTGAAACCAAGGCTGGGCCGGCCACCAAGGGGCCAGAAGGACAACTCTCCCCTGGTAAGTCTCTAAGCGAGTCAGGACCTGGAGCAACAGCCGAACTGGGGGAAAGAGGTACAGGAACCCCCACCTCGACCAGTCGAGCCGAAAGGCATCGACCCCGACGGCCTCGCAATCGGGGAAGGGCGCCGCATAAACGGGAAGACGCCGCGACCACGCCGACGCGAAGAGGTCCACCTCGGGGCGCCCGAACGTCTGGCAAAGCCAACGGAAGGACTCGTCGTCGACCGTCCACTCCGTGGAGAGGGGAACGAAGCGAGACAGGGCGTCGGCCAAGACGTTGGACACGCCCCGTACGTGAACCGCCAGGAGAGCCAAACCCCGAGAACTCAGCAGACGAGTCACCCGAAGCGACCAACCCCAAAGAGACAAGGACCGCATCGAACCCCCGCGGTTCAGGCAATGAACCACCGGAGAGCAGTCCGAATGGAGCCGAATCGTCGATCCGCGGGCCACCCGAATCCTCCCCAGAGCAAACCACACTGCCGCGAACTCCCGCACCGTACTGTGAGCTCGACGGAAGGACGGATCCCAACGCCCCTGGCCGGCCTGGTGAGCACTGGTCACAAAACCCCAGCCGAGAGACGACGCATCCGTGTACACATCGAGCGAGGGCTCGGGTAGGCGCCAAGGCACTGAACCCCGAAAAACCCGAAGAGGAAGCCGGTGACGCAGCAACCGACGCAAGTCCCCCGGGGGTCGAACTCTGCGATCGCGAGAGAGGCGGAAGGGGGAACCCCGAAGGAACCAGAACAGCCGTCGAAGCCAAACCCGACCCGGCGGGTAGACCACCATCGCGAAGTTCAGGCTCCCGCACAGCCCCTCGAGCAACCGCCGGGTGACCCGAGGGCCCTCCAGAAACAGACGAAGGCGGGACCGCAGCCGCAGGAGAGACTCCGGAGGGAGAGACAAGGAGGCGGTCCGAGAGTCCCACACGAGACCCAGCCAAGTCCGAACCTGAGAGGGAACCAGATGGGACTTCCTCCAGTTCACCAAGAACCCGAACCCGGCGAGCTGGGAAAGAACCAAATCCCTGGCTAGCAAGCAAGCTGACTGGCTGGGAGCCCAAACCAGCCAGTCGTCGAGGTAGGCCAACACCCGAACACCTAGGAGACGCAAACGAGCCACCACAACCCGTGTAAGGCGTGTGAACACGCGAGGTGCCAGGTTCAAACCGAACGGGAGACAACGAAAGCGGTAACTCAGACGCCCCACTACAAAACCGAGCCAGTCCCTGAACCGCGGATGAATCGGGACATGCCAATAAGCGTCCCGGAGGTCCAGGGACACCATCCAAGCACCCGGCTCCAAGAGGAGCCGAACCTGAGACAGCGTAGTCATCCGAAAGGAGGGGCAATGAACCCAGGGGTTCAGACGGGACAAGTCCAGAATGAACCGCAGGTCCGCGCAGTCCCGTTTCGGAACCGGAAACAGACGGGAAACCCATCTGAGGGACGACGTCGTTTCGACGACGCCCAAGCGTACCCACTCCAAGACGACTCGACAGAGCGCAGGGGAAGAAGCCTGCCCCGCCAGCCCCGACCCCCCAAAGGGGGGAGGGGCCACCCAACGCCACCGCAGGCCGCGAGACACGACCCGAAAGGCCCACGAATCGTGGGACCAGGCGCGGGCGAACAGCGCAAGCCGCCCCCCCATCGCCCCGTCAAAGGGGCAAACCGCGAAAGGGCCGGCGACCCTTACGAGACCCAGAACCCCGCACAGCGCGAACACCGCGCCGACCAGACGAGGGAGGGTCCGCAGGAGGAGCCAACCCCAAACCTGACACCAGAGGCCTACCACGACGAGAGGAACCCCGAGCCCTGGCACGACCTTTCCGGGAAGACCCACCCCGGGACCCCCGGAAAACCAACAAGTCCGACATCGGACGACAAGCCGCCGACGCAGCCTGAATAAACTGCGCCACGGCCGACTCCCCAAACAGGAGAGGACAAAAAGGTGAAGAACGCCTAAGAGCCAGAGCCCAAGCAGATTCCACGGAGGAACCCAGCACCGCCTGCCGACACGCGAGACGGGAAGCATAGAACAGGGAAACCGCATCCCGCAAAATCGGCGTGAACAGCTTCAACAAGGCAGCCGACGAACGCGCAGCCGAGGACAAGGTGCCGGACCCCGGGACGGACCCAAGCGTCCCCACATCCTCCACGAGCCAATCCGAAGACAGCTCCAGGAGGGAAAAGAACCGCAAGGCCGAACACAAAAGGCCCCGAGCGCGCAAGTCCTCCGCCACGAGCGCCGCCGAAAGGGAGGGAACCTGCACATGGAGCTGAATAACGCCCACATCGCGGGGAAGGGCAGGGGCAAACAAGCACTCATTCAGGTACTCAAGTTCACCCCCCAGGAAAACCTGAAGCACCGTGGAAGCTTCCCGCCACTCCAGCGTGCGGGAACGACAGAAGGAATGCCAGGAATCCAGACCAAACAAGGGGCAGTCTGCTAGCCAGGATGACTCCGGAACCTCGTAACGGAGCCAGAAAGGGAACGAAGTCCCAAACCTGAACGTGGACGGATCCATTTCCGAGGCATAATCCGGGTCACGCAGGAGGTAAGCTGCAAAGGCCGCGCGCACCACACCAGGTTGGATGCGATAAGCCGAAAACCTCCTGAAGGACGGAACCGACGTACCCGGGGGAACACGGAACCGTACCCGGGGAGGGGCCGACACCAAATCCAACTCGTACGCAGAGGGGGGGAAAGAAAACCCCACTCCTTGTAACAATAAGCCCCGCTCAGTGGGAAGAAAAACCCAGGCGGGGTCCAGCGGGGCCCAAGGCCCCCAAGTCAGCCCCTCCCCAGCCTCGAGGTCCGTCACCACAGGACCCGAGGCCGAGTCCTCTCCCCAAGCCCCGACCCCACAAGACAAGGACGGAGCAGCCGGAAAAGCTGGAGGAAGGGGGGCCCACTGGTCAGACCCTGAAGCTTCGGCCGGGAGACAAGACTCGAATGCCTCTGCCGCCCCCCCGGAAGGGGCAACCCCCGAAGCTGCCCGAGTCTCGAGATCAAGTAACCCCTGCTCCGACCCCGAAACCCTCAGACGCTTCGGGGCCGGAAGCAGGGGCGGGGGACCAGAACGAACAGAAGGGGAAGGACGAGGAGGTGCGGACTGAACCAGGATCGAAGCGACCCCCACCCCCAAGTCCGGGTCTCGAAAAGCAAAGCGGGGCAGCCCCGGGGCATCCGGGGAAGCAACCAACCGAGCGCGTTGCAACAGACGAAACCTAGACTGCAACGCACGTGCCGCCTGTACCCGAATAGAATCATCAGAGGATTGGGTAAATTGAGTCACAAGCAAGCAGCAACACTCACAGGACTCAGGGTCGAAAGTATCACCGACCCAACAGGCAGCGTGGCAGAGGCAAAAACAATGAGGGTCACCCTGAGACAAGGGGACCGAGCAACCCTCAAACTCGCACACAGCGAGTGGGGACTCCGGGGTCACATCCATCGGACCCACGCGCCCCCTAGGGGATTCCCAGGGTCCTGAGCGTTTACTTTAAGAGGACTCGCGCTCAGGTAGTCCCAGGCAGGGTGCTGCAAACCGGCGCCCAAAACTACCAAGCAAACTTCTAAAGCTGAACCCCAGGGACGTGTACACTCACGGGGACCTAGCAGGGGGCGCCACCGAGGAGAACAGTGGAAGGGCAAAAACAAACTGAATAAAATGACAGAACCCCCCACCAGGCAAAAAACAAAAAGAAAAACAAAACCCCGCAAGAGGACAGCGAACCCCAAGGAACAGAGCCGGCCGCGATGTCGGGAATTACAAGCTGAGCAGCACCCTGCGCCCCTACCAGTGCAAACTGCCTCTTACCTGCCGGTAACAAGGGAGAACAGAACACCCAAGAGCCCAACAGGCGGCCGAAAAACCGAAAGGTAAAACGGACCAGCAGAGGCAGACCCCGAGGAGCCTGTGGAAGGTGGCCCCAAGCCCCAAGGGCAGTACTTACAGGGCACCTAGGGAAGGCAGCCCTAGGCGCATGCAGCCCGAGTACTGAAGATAACTCCTGGCTCTCGCACCCACAAAACTAACACCACACTCAAAGCACAGTGCAGTAGCGACACCGGAGCCAGAGCACACGACCACCGCCAATAGCATCAGCCTCAAGAACTGAGGTGTGGGTAGCCGGCGCGGGGGGTCTGGGGCTCCCCCTTCCCCCTCCCGGGGAGGGGGGAGCTGCGCAGACAGCGGCGCGGCAGTGTGTGACGTCACACTAATTTGCTTGTTTTCGGTTGGGGAGTTCTATCCACTAGTTCGGTATTAGGTAGCAATTTTAACCAGAATAGGGGTTTGTTTTGGGGCGCTTACCTTTCTGGGTGCCTGTTCCGGTCGATGGCAGACATAGAATGCTTCCAACTACACGGGGGCTTCTATAGGCCATTGCTCCCCTTGCCTCTCTGAGGGGGCCCGGTTCTGGCCGTGGTCCCCGGTAGGCCTAAGAACTCCATACACATGACTGATGCCAAAGTCTGACATTAGCATATCAGCCTGGGATAGCTCCGGGGAGCCGACGGGGCTCCCCCCAGAAAATACCTGAAACCAAGGCTGGTCTGGCTACCATGGAGCCAGGGAAAGAGCCCTCACCTGAGAGGACTCGAAGCGAGCCAGGACCTGGGCCTGGAGACAAGACAGTCCATGGTTGGACTGGGAGGAAGAGGTACAGACAACCCTCACCTCGACCAGTCTTGCCGAAAAGCATCTACCACGACAGCCTCGCAGTCGGGAAATGGTGCCATGTACAATGGAAGACGCCAAGACCACACCGTCACGAAGAGGTTCACCTCTGGGCAGTCGGAAATCCGGCAAAGCTAATGGAAAGACTTGGCATCGACCATCCACTCTGAGGAAAGAGGAATGAATCGAGACAGGCCTTCTGCCAGAACATTGGACACGCCCCTAAATGTGAACCGCGCCGAGAGCCAAACCCCGAGAACTATTTGACATGCTATTTCACATAGCCAACAATTAATGTTAGTGAACGTTCAACTACAAGTCGTGAGGCGCAGATCTTTGGCTCCATTATACAATTTATTAAGTCTAAGTGGGTCACCTGGTAAATTACTATCTCCTAACTGAAAATAATTTAGATTCTACATAGAACACTGTGGGGCTTTCATATGTTTCTTTCCTTTAACTAGTTTCATGTCTAGGGGTCCATTTCATTCATCAAGGGGGTACAGTCGGGTTCATTCACGACGCACAATCGAGAATTCTGGGTTTGAATCTCAGACGGGACAGAAATGGTTGGGCACATTTCCTTTCCCTCTCATGCCTCTATTCACCTAGCAGGAAGTAGGTACTCAGGAGCTAGTCAACTTATTGTGGGGTAATTCTACCCTGGAGGGGTTGGGATGGGGGGTCTATTCGACCTCGATAAAAGTCTAACCTGCATGAATACACTCTGGCTTCCTGTCCCCCAACACAGTGAATTATATATTTAAATTACAGTATTGTATTCTAAATTAATTGGTCACCTGTACTCTTCTCATTTGTACATGATTATGCCATAGGATACCAAACATTTAGGACAACAAACCTTATACATTATTGGTATGAATTTTTGCAGCCGACGCATAGTGTCCTCAGAGCTGTCTGCATTACAGAGGTGGATGGCATATGGATCATTGTGGATCCTGTTCTCGCCAATCAACATCTATAAAATATAAAGACAAGTTTGACTTAAAAACATATAATTGCATCATAGTTTAGAATAACAAAATAGGAAAAACAAGAAGAAACAAGGTTTAAAGTTTTAATTTAAAGCACCATTATAAGATATCATTATTGGTTACTCCCTGAAATAAGATCCATTGTGCCATTTGATCAGGATTGCCAACAGTCAGGCAGGGCAACAGTCTGACACTGGCACCACAAGAAACATTTGAAATACCCTATAGTCCCTACAAGGTCATACTGGTTAGCTGGAAAGTTGTATACAATGGACAAAAACCAAAGTTGAATGTAATGAACTGCCAATTTCTAGGTAAGTCCCTGTGGCTCCCTGAAGCTATATACAAATGAGATGGTTCCCATCTACCAGGTCACATCAGCCATGGAGTTCTTCAGGCCTACTGTGGACCAGTACCATAATCTGGCCCCCCTCAGATGCACAGGGAGCTGTGACATTTCGCAACCTCACCGGGCAAGGCAACTAGAAAGTCAACAAAACAAAACAAACTAACGCTGTGTTCAAAAGAGATTAAAGCCTCAAAACCCGGCTAAAAAAAAATCCCTCAGATATGTAAATAAACGAACGAATTCTCTCGAAACTAGTGCAAGCTCGTTTGTGACATGGCTCATGGCCTGCCGGGGTGTGAGCTGTCAGTTCTAGAGTACAATAGATGTTAACACCCATCCAACAACCTGGAAGGGATGGAGGGGAAATCAGGGAGCCACCGGCACTCACCCGGTATTTCATTACATTCAACACTGGTTTTCTGGGAGCCATCCTTGATGTTCCCTGAAGCTAACTACCCATGGAGAAGGAAGAACACATGGAAACTTACCAGGGAGGAAGAAACACTGTTCAGGAAAGGCAAGTCATGTCTCACAGGTTAAATAGAATTTTATGACCAAGCAACAAGCATTAAGCAAGAAAGAGAAGGGTGGACAGACTGCATTTTCTTGTGGACTGTCAGAAAGTGCTTGATACAGTACCCCTATAAGAGACTGTTGCATAAGTTGGAGAAACAAGTTGGAATAAGCGGTAGGGGTGCTCCAATGGATAAGGGAGTACTGTATCTAAACAACAGGAAACAGAGTGTTACTGTGAGGGGCGAGACCTCAGACTGGCATGATGTCACCAGAAGCATCCCACAGGGTTCTGTACTTGGATCTATCTTAATTGTGATAAACGTGAATGATTCTCCAGAAGGCATAGACTCCTTCCTTTCAATGTTTGCTGATGATGCTAAAATTATGAGAAGGATTAAGACAGGAGGAGGACAGCAAGAGACTACAGGATGACCTGGGCTGAAGGAACGGTCCAACAAATAGCTATTAGAGTTTAACTCGAGCAAGTGCAAAGTGATGAAGATAGGTGTAGGGAGGAGGCCAAATACAAGGAACTAGCTGGGAAAGGAAATCCTTCAGGAGTCAGGAAGATAGAAAGATTTCGGGGCCGATATCCCACCAGACTTGTCCCCTGAAGCCCACATAAAAAGGACAACATCAGCGGCATATGTAAGGCTGCCGAACATGAGAACTGCCTTCAGAAACTTGTGTAAAGAATCATTCAGAACCTTGTATACCTCACATGTCAGATCAATACTGGAATATGCAACTTCATCATAGAGTCCACATCTTGTCAAACACAAAACGAAGTTAAAAAACTTCCAGAGGTACAGTATGCCACTAGGCTAGTCCCTGAGCTGAGAGGTATGAGCTATGAAGAAAGATTACTGGAACTAAACCTCATGACACTGGAAGGCAGAAGAGTCAGGGGAGACATGATCACTACCTATAAAGTTCTCAGAGGAACTGAAAGGGTAGATAAACTGTTTAGCACTGGTGGTACGTGAACAAGGGGGCCACAGATAGAAACTTAGAACCCAAATGAGCCACAGGGACGTTAGATTTTTTTTTTTTTTGTCGGAATAGTTAAGAGATGGAATGCATTAGACAGTGATGTGATGTAGGCAGACTCCATCCAGACTTTCAAATGTAGATATGATAGAGCCCAATAAGCTCAGGAATCTGTACACCAGATACTGGGTGTACAGTAAGTATTGCTAAGTAGGTAAGTACAGTATTGCTAAGATACTGGGGAAGATAGGAGATGTAGATGATTGTAATGCCCTTCAAATTGATCTAGATAAAATAAGTGCTTGGAGCATCAAGTGGCAAATAGAATTTAATGTGAATAAATGCCATGTTATGGAATGTGGAATCTGAGAAAATAGACCCACACAACTTACAAATTATGTGGAAAGGAAATACAGATCTCTAATAAAGAACGAGACCTGGGGGTGGTTTTGGATAAAAACCTGTCGCCAGAGGAACACATAAAGAACATTGCGAGAGGAGCACATGCGTCGCTTTCTAACTTCAGACTTGCTTTTAATTACATGAATGGTGAAATACTAAAGAAACTGTTCACGACTCTTGTGAGACCAAAATTGGAATATGCAGCAGCTGTATTGTGCAGAAATCTCAAGAAGCACATGAATAAACTGGAAAAGGTGCAGCAGCATGCTACAAAATAGCTTTCAGAACTGAAAAACAAGTTATGTGTAGAGACTAGAGCCGCTAAACATGCCAAAATTAGAAGATAGAAGAAAGAGTGGCAATATGATCACCACTTACAAAATACTAACAGGAATAGACCAAATTGACAAAGAGGAATTCCTTAAACCAGCACCATCACAAAAAAGGGGACACAGATTTAAGCTAAGGAATCAACAAAGGAATTTTTTGATGACAAAGGTGCTGAAAAAAATATTAGAAAGTTTTCTTTTGTAAACAGAGTGGTAGACGATTGGAACAAGTTACATGAGGAGGTGGTGGAAGCCAAAACTGTCAGTAGTTTCAAAGGGCTATACAGTGGGGCCTCGACTTATGATGGTAATCTGTTCCCAGAGACGGATCGTAAGTCGAAATATCGTAAGTCGTAGCGATTTTTCCCATAAGAAATAAAGGGAATTGAATTAATCCGTTCCCCACCCTCCAAAATATTAACTTACAAATACATTTTATACTGAATACAATGTTTTTTCTAACTACAATACAGGACTTAAGTTTATCTTACCTTTATGGAGGTCTCTTGATGGCGTATGAAAGATGGTGATGAGGGGGTAGGAGAAGAGGTGTTACTGTTTGGAAGGGGAGTCCCCTTCCATTATAACATCAGGCAGTGATGACTTTTCTGGGGTACACTCTCTCTTACGTTTTGCCTGCATACCACTAGGACCTGGTTGTGATTCACTGCTTGTTTGTCTCACTAAAAACCTTTCCAGAGATTTTTATTTTTCCATATGTTTCCATATATTTTTCGTATATTTTTGTCTGTAGTGAGGCATCACAGTGTCATTAAAAAGGTTAAGGCAACGGCCTACTGCACCGTGATTTGGGCGAGTCGTTTCAGCAAAAGTTTGCAATTCTTCCCATGCTGCACACATTTTCTTAATTAATGAGGAAGGGACATTCTGTACCGTCTCCTCCTCTCCTGAAGAAATTTCCTCAGCTGTCTCTTGTTGCTACTTCTTGTGAAGTTCTTCAGTGGTCAGTTCTTCGCTGTGTTCCTCCACCAGCTCACAACACACAACACTCAGAACACTATGAATGCCACTTCTTTTTCTAAATTTTTCAAACCATCCCCTGCTCGCCTTAAACTCTTTCACATTTGCATCACTCGTTCCAGGGGTTTTCTTTAAAAGGTCTTCATGCAATTTTCTTGCCTTTTCACAAATGATGGCCTCTGAAACTCTATCACCTGCTAACTCTTTGCTGTGTATCCAAAATAATAATAACTGTTCAACATCCTCAAGTGTTTGTGTTCTATGTTTCGTGATTATTGATACGCCTTTTGCCACTTTAGCACTCATAATGTCCCTTTTCTTAGCCAGTAGGGTGGATATCGTTGACTGAGATTTGTTGTACTGCCTAGCTAGTTCAACAACCCACCCACCATCTTCATATTTACGAATGATCTCTTGTTTCTGTTTCTATGGGTTTTCGCATGTTGAGCCTTACCACTGAATTTCCTGGGACTCATGGCATGATATATAATAATTACTTTAATGTTCAAAATGCAAAAAATCACCACAAAAGTGGAATTTCTTATAGGCGCGATCGTCACTAGGCGGGCAGCTGTAGTAAACTGAGGTAGGTTGGCCACGTGACCGGGAACCACGCGCTCAGTCGACCCGAACGTGTACCAGCAAATATCGTTAGTCGACGACACCATCATATGTCGAGTCGCATTTTTCTATGAAATTTACATCGTAACTCAAAATTATCTTAAGTCGAGGCAATCATAAGTCGAGGTACCACTGTATAAGGGCACTGAGGCCCAAGAACATTCACTAAATACCAGGATGACAGAATTGTGTTAGACCTCCAAACCCGCCACACCTGAATATTGGCCCAGGACATATTAGCGAACACAGCTGAGAGAGTACTGTACCATATTTCCTAACATCACGGGCATGACGGTAGACTGGCTGGACTTAATGACACTGTGGATGACCTCAGAAATACAACCCGTGAGACTGGGAACCAAGGAAACAAGATCAACCCATAAAGCATCCAACAAAACAGAATTGGCGACACAAAGGTAGTGGTGGATTGTTGCCACCGAACACACAGGATGGTTGGAGTGGTGACTGTGATTGGATTTGTGACTGTGGTTGCAGTTGTAGTTGTGAGTGTGGTTGTAGTTGTGTCATTGTGGTTAGAGTGGGTGTAGTATTGGATGGTTAGCCATTGTGGTCATTGTATCACCATTGTGTTAGCCATTGCAGTTTTCATAGTATTTATGGTGACTGTGGTGGCTGTGGAATGTTAGTTGGTGGTGGTCATGGTGTTGATTTTAGTGTAGTTGTGGTGATGTGATGGGTGATGAGAGTTATGATGTTCGGTGGTGAATGGTGGTAGTTATATTAATATTGTATAATGGTTGTGATAGTGATGGTAAGTGGTTGTAATATTAGGTGGTACAGTAGTTGAGGGGTATTGATTGTGGGTAGTTACAGCTGATGTGGTGAATGCAGTATATGTGACTGAATAAGGTAAGGTAATTACCAGAGGAAAACACCGAGCCACTACGACTATGTAGCACCTGTAAGGAATATGGATAAGGATTTGGGATAAAACAGAGGGAAGGAAAGGTGTCCAACCACTTGGGTGGTCGGGGATTGGACGCCAATCTGCAAGAAGCAAGACCGTCACTCTACTGTCTAGTCCAAGTGGTTGGGTGTGGCTGAATAGTGATTCTGGTAGTGGGAGTGATTGCTCTGGTGGTTGTGCTTACCTGTATGTTTGGAGAGCGAGTTCAAGTTGCGCGTGGACCCCAGTTTCTAGTTATTGTACCTGGTGCTTCTGTGGTGGCAAAACTATTGGTTGTGGTGGTGGTTTTGGTTGTATCATGGTTGTGTTGTGCTGGTTATAGTTGTGGTATTTGATGGTCACTGTGATAGAGGTTGTTGAGGTATGTCTAGCAGTTGTTATATTGGTGGTTATACATGTATTGGTTGTGGCTGTACTGTGATAGTAGTGATTACACATATTTAGTACAAGCACTTAAATCATGATCAGCTTGGCAGACATCTCACTCATTCTTGCCATTACCTCTACAGCTATTCAGTCCATACACATTTAAAGATAGACTGAGACAATCATCCTCATAGAAGATCAATACAAAGAACATAAGGTTTAAGATATTCAAATGACACCCATCCATTCTCCAAACCTTCCAAGCCAAACAGAATCACGAAAAACCCTGTACACATGCAAATTATCCACAGGAGCACTCCACCACTTCATAAGACTAGGTGTAAATTTCTCAAGAGTTATAGTGTACCATACTGTACAAGTATGTCAAACATTCCCACCTTTGTAACGAACTGATTCCACGTAGTATTGCTTCCTAACAATTGTCATGCTCCGTATACACTCAATCCCCACTAGCTTACACACTCACCATGTTTGATCATCTTTGCTTTCCTCTCCCTCTACCCTAAAACATTCATCAGTTTTATCATTATACATTTATTCAATATGACCAAGCAATTTCAGACTACTATTTTTTTATTATATTTGTTTCTTATTCTATCATTAATCAGTAAGACCACATGTGCTCCTCAGATCGTTTGAGTGACATAAGACACACAATAGATTTTGTCCTGTTCAATACTAGGTTGGAATGAGACTTATGGAAAACTGCATGCATGTTATTTATCTATGATATAGACATATAACACATCCAAACTGACAGCAAATTCTCTGATATCAAAGACAACATACCTGGATCTGATCAGCACAGTTTTGTCGTTCCTTAGATGTCATGTTTTCACCAAAACCTAGGTCTATCACAATGGGTTGACCATACATCATGGCACTGATGACACGCGAGTTATAGAAATGGTTCATGGTACTATCAAGAATCTTTAGGAATATACTGTTTCGCCACAGACCATAGTGGATGCGCCCATCATCTTCCTCTCTCTCTATTGACAAATTTTCTTCTCTAATCTTCTTTTTAAGTTCCTTTTTAATCTTGATATTTTTGTTCTTCATTTCAATTTTGAAGAGAAATGTAAGGTACCTTTTACGTCCAGCTACAGACTTTATTGTGAGTAATTCTTGCCACTCCTCAGGAGTGAAGGTACTGGGCACATATATGCCTTCTTGACGGTACAATTCCACCTCTAATTTGATCAGTTCCTCCAAATCCACTTCCTCATTTTCCTCTGATAGAGTTGTGGGCTCGGTGTTGCCTTCTTTTATACGTTCACTAAAAATAAAATCTGTTTCAGTCTCTGGAACATTATCAACTCTGTTACTAGCTTTATTTAATGAATAATTTTCCCTCTTTGTTATTTTACTCTCAGGAAAGTCATGACTTCTTTGACTTTCTTCTTTGGTTGAAGTTACGGCATTTGATGACGACTGATGGCCTTCTTCCGTACATTTCAATGCTCCGTCATTTCTCTCACTCTGAGTATGCTGCTGTCTTGATGTGCAATACCACTTCACCGATCCCAGTTGTAACCGATGTTCCATCTTCATACCAACCCATCGTGAGCGGCGGGAACTTGTCGAACTAGACCAGCAAGCTCTTGCACATTCTGAAGACAATCTGCAACAACAACACAAATCAAATCATGTAAGCATAGTGTTAAATGATTGTAAAAGTCAGACGGCTATTCTCACTTATGCAAGTGAACACGACCAAGGACAAGCCATGTCAATGGCCGTGCACACACTAAACTACACTATATGTTTGGGTGGTTACACTTGTCACAGTTAAGTAGTCACATTATTGACCTTTTTTCTTGATTCTCTACTTGTGCAAATGTCTGTCTTTTCTTGGCCGCCTTCTTCCTGGAGCACACCTGGAGAGCGTTCTGGGAGTTTTTCTACTCCCCGAACCCGGCCTGAAGCCCAGCTCAACTTGGGATAACTTGGTCCTACACAACTGCTCTTTAGTTCTAGTCACATTTTATGCAATTTCTCCCATCTTTACAACTTATATTTAAAATGTTTCACATTTTTGATATTTCAACTACTATTACTACTACAACTCCTCTCCTAATTAAAGAAACTTATAATTCATTACTTTCTTTAGGTGGACAAAATACAATTTGTCCACTTTCACTACTGACTTCTTAATGTGTTAATAAATTTACTTTATTTACTACTGTACTTTTTAGAAAACATGGAACTGGTACATATTTTAGTCTGTTAAACATAAATTGAACACCAATACTCCATCAGTCATAAGTCTGTGGCACAGTATTATAAATAATAAAAAAATATGAGTAACTTATGTAATTGAATTAAATTCATTATTATTACTCTGCTTCCCCACTTCATAGCGGAAAAAAAGGCCCTTGCCCAAAGACAGATTTATGATTCATTATAAAACTATAATATTAATGTTTGTAACAAAATGTGGTGTTACCGTTGCTGGGAAGTGTTTGTGAAGAATGTCTGCCGTCCCTGTAGAGACAAGTGGTGACGGGCAGCTGCACACAGGGTCGGTCCAACCCGAGACGTCATCATCAGACGTGTTGTTGTCGAGAGCTGGGGACAGCCTTCACTTGTTCACTATAATCACGTTCTTCAGTATTTCACAGTCTTCTATATTCCACCATATTTTCCTAATGATAAAAGTAGTTAGCATGCAGGTTTTCTCCTCCGAGAGACTGTGCTGTTCCCTAGTATGCTGCTGGAGCCACCCTAGTATGCTGCTGGAGCCACCCTAGTATGCTGCTGGAGCCACCCTAGTATGCTGGTGGAGCCACCCTAGTATGCTGCTGGAGCCACCCTAGTATGCTGCTGGAGCCACCCTAGTATGCTGCTGGAGCCACCCCAGTATGCTGCTGGAGCCACCCTAGTATGCTGCTGGAGCCACCCTAGTATGCTGCTGGAGCCACCCCAGTATGCTGCTGGAGCCACCCTAGTATGCTGCTGGAGCCACTCAAGTATGCTGCTGGAGCCACCCTAGTATGCTGCTGGAGCCACCCCAGTATGCTGCTGGAGCCACCCTAGTATGCTGCTGGAGCCACTCTAGTATGCTGCTGGAGCCACCCTAGTACGCAGCTGGAGCCACCCTAGTATGCTGCTGGAGCCACCCTAGTATGCTGCTGGAGCCACCCTAGTATGCTGCTGGAGCCACCCCAGTATGCTGCTGGAGCCACCCTAGTATGCTGCTGGAGCCACCCCAGTATGCTGCTGGAGCCACCCTAGTATGCTGCTGGAGCCACCCTAGTACGCAGCTGGAGCGACCGAAAATGCTGCTAGAGCCACCATAGGATGCTGCGAGACCCGGCACCATAACTCTCCCGCACCGCATTAACGCTTATTTACGAGTCACATATTAGTGAACTTATAAACTTGTTCAAATCAGTTTATTTATTTTTAAAATAACTAGATGATGTATGTAATTTTATTTTAATTATAATATATTAGCTCAAAAATAATTTTAGAATATTTTGATTTTAATCAGATTTAAGGCGAGTCTCTACATTTTATAATGTGGGTTTAAATGATCATAAGAGCTACCCGTACGATAGCTCGGGTAGACCGACGGTCTCTTGGCAACTCCTTAGGTCTGACAGCACAGCCTTATTGATTATTTAGCCTATTTTCTACCACAAATGCGGCTATTTGTTACACTTTTTTATTTATTCTATTTTATTTATTTATATATATACAAGAGTTCTTATATTCTTGTACAGCCACTAGTACGCGTAGCGTTTCGGACAAGTATAACATAGGATAACATAAATCCTATGTTATCCTATGTATTCCTTTAATATACCTACTAATCTCTCTCATTTTTTTCCTGCAATGTACCTGTTAATAATTATAAATTTTGGTAGAATTTACCTACTTAAAATTATCTTTTAGATTAAGGACTGCCCGAAACGCTGTGCGTACTGTGGCTTTACAAGAATGTAAAGTTCAAGTTCAAGTATGTTTATTGAGACAAGAAAAAAAATACATCTCAAAGGGATAGAGTAGCTTAGGTTATTTCTACCCCCTCTATTTCAAGTCCCTCAAGGGGAGCACAAATTCAATGGGAACAAAAACACAAATCATAATACAAGAATCCCATTTAACATTTCAGGTTAATATAGAACTCTAAGAGTATAATAGTATACATCCTCAGTAGATATGTAAGGTGCTTTAATTTACGACATAGACCGTTCATGGCATTTTGGGATGCAGCGGTTTCGTGATTTTTGAGCCGAATTCTGACTCTCTGCACCTATTTTCATTTTCAAATTACGACTTTTTTATACAAAAAATATGTCAATTACTGAAAGCGGCGATTGGTCATATTTTGGCCAACCCCCCCCCCCCCACCAAAAATTTTCAAAATATCTGAAATGTCGGAAATTTGACTCCTGAACGTGATTTTTGAGCCGAATTCTGAATCTCTGCACCTATTTTAATTTTTAAATTATGACTTTTTATACCGAAAATATGCCAAATACTGAAAACGGCGATGGGTCATATTTTGCCCAAACCCCCCTGCAGTTTTCAAAATATCTGAAATATCGGAAATTTGACTCCTGAGCGTAATTTTTTAGCCAAATTCTGACTCTCTGCACCTATTTTCATTTTCAAATTACAATTTTTTATACCGAAAATATGCCATTTACTGAAAACAGCGATGGGTTAAATTTTGCCCAAACACCCGTGCAGTTTTCAAAATATCTGAAATGTTGGAAAATTGACTCCTGGGCGTGATTTTTGAGCCGAATTCTGAATCTCTGGGACTATTTTCATTTTCAAATTACGACTTTTTAAACCGAAAATATGCCAATTACTGAAAACGGCGATGGGTCATATTTTGCAAAACCCCCCTGCAGTTTTCAAAATATTTGAAATCTCGGAAATTTGACTCCTGAGCGTGATTTTTGACCCGAAATCTGAGTCTCTGCACCTATTTTTATTTTCCAATTACGAATTTTTATACCGAAAATGTGCCAATTACTGAGAGCGGCGATGGGTCATATTTTGCCCAAACCCCCCCTGCAGTTTTCAAAATATCTCAAATGTCAGAAACTTGACTTCTGAGCGTGATTTTTGACCCGAATTCTGACTCTCTGCACCTATTTAATTTTTCAAATTACAAATATTTATACCGAAAATATGCCAATTACTGAAAGCGGCGATGGGTCATATTTTGCCCAAACCCCCCTGCAGTTTTCAAAATATCTGAAATGTCGGAAATTTGACTCCTGAACGTGATTTTTGAGCCGAATTCTGACTCTCTGCACCTATTTTCGTTTTCCAATTACGACTTTTTATACAAAAAATATGCCAAGTACTGAAAACAGCGGTGGGTTAAATTTTGCCCAAACCCCCCCTGCAGTTTTCAAAATATCTAAAATGTCGGAAATTTGATTCTTGTGCGTGATTTTTTGAGCCAAATTCTGAATCTTTGGACCTATTTTCATTTTCTAATTACGACTTTTTATACCGAAAATATGCCAATTATTGAAAACGGAGATGGGTCATATTTTGCCCAAACCCCCCCTGCAGTTTTCAAAATATCTGAAATATCGGAAATTTGACTCCTGACCGTGATTTTTGAGCCGAATTCTGAATCTCTGCACCTATTTTCATTTTCAAATTACGATTTTTTATACCGAAAATATGCCAATTACTGAAAACAGCGATGGGTTAAATTTTGCCCAAACCCCCCCTGCAGTTTTCAAAATATCTGAAATGTCGGAAATTTGACTCCTGAGCGTGATTTTTAAGCCGAATTCTGAATCTCTGCACCTATTTTCATTTTCAAATTACGATTTTTTATACCGAAAATATGCCAATTACTGAAAACAGCGATGGGTTAAATTTTGCCCAAACCCCCCCTGCAGTTTTCAAAATATCTCAAATGTCAGAAACTTGACTTCTGAGCGTGATTTTTGAGCCGAATTCTGACTCTCTGCACCTATTTTCATTTTCAAATTACGAATTTTTATACAGAAAATATGCCAATTACTGAAAACGGCGATGGGTCATATTTTGCCCAAACCCCCCTGCAGTTTTCAAAATATCTGAAATGTCGGAAATTTGACTCCTGAACGTGATTTCTGACCCGAATTCTGACTCTCTGCACCTATTTTCATTTTCCAGTTACGACTTTTTATACAAAAAACATGCCAATTACTGAAAACAGCGGTGGGTTAAATTTTGCCCAAACCCCCATGCAGTTTTCAAAATATCTGAAATGTCGGAAATTTTACTCCTGGGCGTGATTTTTGAGCCAAATTCTGAATCTCTGCACTTATTTACATTTTCAAATTACGACTTTTTATACCGAAAATATGCCAATTACTGAAAACGGCGATGGGACATGATTTGTCTAACCCCCCCCCCCCCTCCCACTGCAGTTTTCACAATATCAGTAAGCGTATAGGTCGTTGAATTTGAGCGCAGTTGATGTGAAACCCTGTTAGACATTCAACTACAACATTAGAGCCCTCACGCTCACCTAAATAACGTGTATTCTTCTCTTCTAATTCATCAGCCCAAAAATCCACCAGTGTGTCTACTTCCTCTAACGTTACTGTTCGAGCCTCTCCACGTATCGGAAAACCGTCATTAATGATGGGATCCAATGCATTTTCCTCTTCTTCACATATATTTAAATTGTATACAATCAATGTAATATCTGGGTATATTAACAGTGAAGGATGGCGGGGGGGGGGAGAATTGACTTCTAATCTGATCGGTAAAAAATTTGTTAAATGTTCTTAAATATATTCCCGGGGAAGAGCTTTCACTCTCGGGGATCGAAAATGAAAGTCTAATATATACTCTACTAAACTTTTCTATTCGGTCTATAACTCGAGGTTGTACCGCATGCTGTTGTGGAGGTGGTGGAGAAGGAGAGTGAGTGGAAGGGTGAGGTGAAGTTACACCTCCTCCCCGATCCTGTGAGGATGAAGGCTCTTGTGGTGCTATATTTTCGTCTTCAGAGAGAGAGAGAGAGGGAGGATAATGATGATGTTGGTGATATAGGATCGGAACACCAACAACTACCTTCACTGCTGGTGCTGTACTCATCACCATCGCTGAAGTCATCTCCATCTTCATTACCGCTACTGTCAATAGTACTTTCACTGTCGGTGAGGGAACCTAGACGTGAGCAGGAGGTAGCAGTGAAGTGGTGACTGAGGGATGATGATGTTGCTGCTGCTGCTGCTGCTAGTCTCATTACCATCATTGTCGGTGGAAGACAATGGGACTACACTCACTCCTTCGCTGATGCTGCGCTCATCGTCAGCATCGCTATCATCTGCATCTTCATCATTACTGTTGCTAGTGTTGTCGAATATACATATATATTCAAACCTCCTTATCAAAAACAGCCCGAAGCCGACGGAGAACCCTCTACAGCAGTCAAACGTTGTATACATGTACACTTGCCCCCACAAGGATGTAACCTTCAATCTAAGTACATACGTATGACGTCGACCAAGCTGACGAGGCGTTTGACCTGTCATCTTCAATCCGGTGCCCCCAGAAATCACAAGAGACAAGCCCAAGACATCACCCTAACAAGAGAAAAGTTAAATACTTGTATAATAGACAAAACCCAAGATGCAAGAAGATTACAAATTCTTGAAGCAATCCGCATAAAAATAGAACAACATACCATGAATACCCAAATTTCGGAACTATTCACTCTACCCACCATGAGAGTAAGAACAAGACCGGAACATAACGATGCCAACACACAAGACACGCCTCAACAATCAGCGCCCACTACGCCTCAACAATCAGCGCCCACTACGCCTCAACAATCAGCGCCCACTACGCCTCAACAATCAGCGCCCACTACGCCTCAACAATCAGCGCCCACTACGCCTCAACAATCAGCGCCCACTACGCCTCAACAATCAGCGCCCACTACGCCCAACAATCAGCGCCCACTACACCTCAACAATCAGCGCCCACTACACCTCAACAATCAGCGCCCACTACGCCCAACAATCAGCGCCCACTACACCTCAACAATCAGCGCCCACTACGCCTCAACAATCAGCGCCCACTACGCCTCAACAATCAGCGCCCACTACGCCTCAACAATCAGCGCCCACTACGCCTCAACAATCAGCGCCCACTACGCCTCAACAATCAGCGCCCACTACGCCCAACAATCAGCGCCCACTACACCTCAACAATCAGCGCCCACTACACCTCAACAATCAGCGCCCACTACGCCCAACAATCAGCGCCCACTACACCTCAACAATCAGCGCCCACTACGCCTCAACAATCAGCGCCCACTACGCCTCAACAATCAGCGCCCACTACGCCTCAACAATCAGCGCCCACTACGCCTCAACAATCAGCGCCCACTACGCCTCAACAATCAGCGCCCACTACGCCTCAACAATCAGCGCCCACTACGCCTCAACAATCAGCGCCCACTACGCCTCAACAATCAGCGCCCACTACGCCTCAACAATCAGCGCCCACTACGCCTCAACAATCAGCGCCCACTACGCCTCAACAATCAGCGCCCACTACGCCTCAACAATCAGCGCCCACTACGCCTCAACAATCAGCGCCCACTACGCTTGATTAATCTTTGTATGTAGCCTATGATTCCTCCCGGGACCGATTGCCAATACGGCCCAACCCTTCCTTAGTCCTTCTCTGTAACTACTCTAGGGAAGACGTCTCCAAGTTCCTCTACAGTCTACGTCCCTCCTCCTCTTTCAAGTAAGTGACCAAGTTCTTTGTTCTGTTTACCTTCTTCTTTACTGCTAAATGTTTCTCAAAATTTTTGTTAACACTTTCTCCTACTACTACTTATACTTTCTTCTGTTAACTCTACCCAACTCCTCCTCCTCCTACACTTTGAAGGTACTTCTATATCTTTCTTAACTGCTAATGCAATCTTTTTGTTAACACTTTTTCCTACTACTACTACTACTTATACTTTCTTCTGTTAACTCTACCCAACTCCTGCTCCTCTTTAAGGTATTTCTATATCTTTCTTACATGATAATCTTTTTGCTTTCTCTATTTTTCTAAAACATCATCTGTTAAATCTTTCATCTTACAGCTTTAACTTCTTCCATTCACTTTACATATATCTTCATATATCTTTATATATATATATCTTACGTATATCATATCTTTACATATATCTTCCATTCAGTTTACATATATCTTCTCCTCCGACTCTTAAAACACATCTACTCCCCAAAAATGCCTCACTCTCTCTGACAAAAAGTCAGGGGGAGGAGCTTAAAAACTTTATGACCCTTTCACTCAAACAGGGAACACTTTGTACTTCTGTCTCCTCCCTCAACTCTATCCTCCAATCACAAACTTATTTCGCATCTTCCAACAACAACAAAAATCATGACCTCTCAACTTTTACACGACCATACACACAGCACCCGAACACTCCTGGCTCCTCCCTACCTCCATCCACCGATCACAGTC